TGGTGGATGAGGCTGAACTAGAGGCTTATGTAGGTTTCCTGGCAGGAGGAGCCAGTGTCTGCCCACTGCTGGGTGAAGCTTTGTCCTGGACCTCTGGTGGGTACAGCTGTGCCTAGAGGCCTTCATGGCTTAGGAAGTCTGCTGATGGGTTCCCACCCTGTATGTTGTTTGGCCTGTTTGCAGCTTCCTTACAGGCTGTTGGGTGGGGCTATGTCTTGGTGCTAATGATCCCATCAAGACGTCAGCCTCCAGGAAAGCTCTTGTAGATGAACACTCCCAAAATGTCCTCCACCAGCTTTTATGTTCCCTGGGCGAGCTGCAGCCGTCCCACACATCCTGAGAAGACCCTCCAAATCTAGCAGGCAGGCCTGGACCAGGTTCTTAAGAAATCACTGCCTCTGACCTTGGACCTGGCGCACACAAGTTTCCATGTAAGCTTCCCAGATGAATGGAGTCTCCTTTTCCACCAGTCCCGTGGGGCTCCCATCACCAAGCCCCACTGGCCTTCAAAACCAGATGTCCTGGGGTCTCTTTCTCTTCCCAATGCTGGAACCTGAGTTGGGAAGCCTGATGTAGGGCTTAGGGCTCTCACTCCCGTGGGAGGGCCTCTGCAACTTAGCAAATCTTCAGCTTGTGGGTCACCCACCTGGGGGGTATGGGGCCCAATTATATCGCAAGCACGACCCTCCTACCATCTTGCCGTGGTTCTTCTTTATGTTTCCAGTCACAGAAGATCTTTTTTTGCTAGGTTCCAGTCTTTTTTTTCGATGGTTGTTTAGCATGCAGTCGTGGATTTGAGGTAGTCATAAGGAGAGGTGAGCTCGTGGTCCTACCATTCCGCCATCTTGACCCAGTTTTTCCCAAATTTATTTATAGATTCGCTTCAACTCCAAAGAAAGTCCCAGCAGGTTATTTTGTGAATCCTAACAACATATATGCGAATGAGAAGTTTCAATAAGAGCCAGGATCCTGCTGAAGAAGAAAAAATGTAGAAGGATGTACAGTACTAAACGTAAAGACCTTTAATCAAATGTGGTACTGAGACAAAGCAAAGGAACAGACTAGAGTCCAAAAAAAACCAAGACACAGATATATACATTATGATGACATACATCACACAGAAAACAGTGGGTTAAATCATTTTTCAAAAATGATTCTAGATAAATTATATGGGAAAAAAGTAACCTGATGTCTACCACATACAAAAATGAACATCAGTTCCATTAAAGTAGGCATAAATGTGAAAGCCAAAATAATAAATATTTTTAAAATTACAAAGGAGATTTTATGACCTTGGAGTAGGAAAATCAATTTTAAACAGGACACAAATAACACAAACACTAACAAACTTACTAAATTAACCTAGGAATTGGCCAACTTTTTTATGTAAAGAGCCAGAGAGGAAATATCTTAGGCTTTGAGGGCCCAGTGGTCTCTGTCACTTCACTAATCAATTCCACCACTAAAGCCACAGATTATATGTAAACGAATCAGCAGGGAGGTAATAGGGATAGTGAGAGGGGCACAAGGGAAACTTCAGGAGGGCTAGTAATGTTCGTTTTAACTTATGTGTTAGTTACATCAGCACCGGATTTGCAATAATTAATTGAGTTCTATACCTAAGATTAGTGGACTTTTCTATAAATCTACTACTCATTAGAAATGATTTATAAAAAGTTAAAATACATTTAAATTTGTTGATCCAAGAAGACATCAGAATAGAAACTGAAGCCTGCATAGAAAAAAAAAAGCACTACATATTGATACTTGGATTCTGCAGCCAAAGTGGTACACAGAGGGAAGTTATATCCTTAAATGCATATACATCAAAGCTTTAAAATAAACTCAATTTCAACAAAAAAGTTGGAGAAAAAAAAACAGCCTATAAACAAAAATATTTGAAGGAAGGAGTAAAGGTAAAAGTAGATGTTAATGAAAATTGTAGGGAATATCAATGAAAACAAAAGTTGGTTCCTTGAAAGACTGATAAATACACATCTGTGATAAAAATCAGTCCAAAGAAGGGCACAAATGAAAAACGGTTAGAAATAAAAAGCAACAGATAAAACATTTTTAAATGATAATACTATGGATAAGTTTATGGAAAAAAATACTGACAAAAGAATTATGCAGGAGCATCCATGTTGCTGCAAATGGCATCATGTTGTTGGTTTTTATGGCTCCT